GTAAATCTACAGCACAGCCAGCTAAGTCTAACCCACACCAAATCCATCAAAATCGTCGGTGTGGGCATTGGGCAGAGGAATCTCGGACTACTATGGCTAGTGCTACTTAATTACCACTACTATCAGGAGTGAATAATAATAGATGATAACCTATTATCTAAGAGAATGATAATCTATTATCGTTCACTCCTGCTACTATCACCGCCACGAAGGCGTGAGATGTAAATGATGATGATGATGACGATGATACTATTACTGCGGTTGCTTGCTTGCTGTTACGGCTAGTGCTATACCTACCACTACTATCACCCCCTACTATATTAGGCTATACTGGCTTTATAGGCAAGACTATATAGGCTTGCTTGCTGCTGCCAATTATAGAAAAACATCTATATATATTAAATGAGCTTATATATTCTAATCAAGCAGCTGTTCAGCAAAAAACTAGCTATGTGGCCACATGCGTGGCAATATTGCACGTAACGTTCAACCTACTCCAATCTGTACAGATCCCACAACCACGTCTCTGGGAAGTATGTTCTTATGTCTTGCTCAGCAGCAGTGGTGGAGCTCTCCTCAGGACCCCCATCATTATCATAATCCACTTCCATGGTTACGACTTCCGGTCCGGGAGCAGCCATTGGCATCGGTTGAATACCACCGGCACTGCCAGGGCCACGCGAACCTGCCCGATTCCGTTTCTTATTGCCTGTGATATCGCTACTGTTATCATCATCGTCGTCATCATCATCGTCATCATCATCGTCATCATCATATTTACTGTCATCGTCTTCATTGTTTTTTGGAGAGGTATGGAGAGAACACATAACTCACTCCAAAATCACAACTGTTATTATAATAGCTAGTATATCCCGATAATTATAATAATTGTAGAACATTAGTTCAAAATTGTTATAACAGAGAGGTCACCTTATTTGGGTTTGCTGTTCCCCCCCCCCCTCAAATATTCCCTGGCTTCTACATTTATCCGACCTTCCCCTAACCTTTTTCTGCGATTTTTAAAGAAAAATGTAAAAAAGTTGTAACAATTTTACAAGTCGCCAATCTTCACGATTACTAGGTGGTCATATCTTCTCCATACAAGTAATGCGTTCTCGCTGCTCTCACCTGTTCTCATGTAGTATCTCCATCGCCTCTCCCTGCTCACGCAAGGCCGCGCATCCACCTCCATATCCGACATCACAGTCAAGCCAAGATTCTGTAATGAATGAGCGTTCACTAGTAATTAGGGGTGTAACGATTAACCGCGATTCAACTGTATCGCGGGTACATCCCGTTCTGTTCGGTTTTCGTTTTTTTGTTTTTGTTTCGGTTCTCGGTTCGGTTCCGGGAAATACATTCAACCCCGAGTCTAATCTCAAGTCTAATAGTCTATTTTGGTCAGGTAGATCACTTCAATGAATAGTATTATGACTATTATCCTTGAACTGTATTACTTTATTGTCTTTTGGCCAGTGAATAACACAATAAATGTATAATATTATGATAGGTATTATTATTATTATTCAAAATGGAGGAAAACTTTCCCCATCTTCTCAGGATTTTTAATTTTTTACTACTGAAAATAACCGAACCGAACCGAAGAGCAAAAACCGAAAACCGAACCGAACCGAAACAAAATGTATCGTTACCCCCCTACTATAGTAATGCACTCTTTTATTTCAGCAAACTCAATCATCAGCATCCTCAGCGTCACTCAATTAACAGCTTCAAACTGCGATCTGCGGTAGAGGAATCATATCCACATATACTCTACTGTCTACACTGCGAATATGTAGCCCAACAGTGTGGTAAAACAACATGCGCAGCAAAGCAGAGGGCTTCAACTATGATTTGAGGTAGAGGCACATCTCCACTCCCACAACAAGGTGCTAAAAGTCCATCGGAGAAAAACCAGAGTTTCACACTTGAACTTACTTGGAACGCGAGCCTCGAGTCGACATTGTTGGTGAATGTCCAGTACAAGGAATGGCGACTAGTCCTAATCACGGGTTCCACGATGGCCGGGAAAGCCACCGGGCCTGGGGGACCGGGAGGACCCTGGAGGCCTGGAATAGGTGGTGGCGGTATCTCCTCAGGACCTAAAACAAGCACAATCAGTAAATTAATGACAGACCAATAAACCATAATGGTTGTTACAGATGTAGCTCTCCTGTCCCGCATCTCCGAAACCTCAAGCAGAATTCCACATCACAGAAAATTCTAGATTATGGGAGTTCATTCGTAAGATCACGATCTAATACATTGAAATCTTACCGAAACATAAAGCCAATTTTATTTTCACTTATGTTTAATGCTGATGCACAATTATCAACATTTCAGATAGAGAGAGAGAGAGCGAGAGAGAGAGAAAGAGAGAAAGAGAGAGAGAAAGAGAGAGAGAGCGAGAGAGAGAGAAAGAAAGAGAGCGACAAGGAAACCATGCACTCACAGATATTGGCGTCCAGAAACGATTCTTTATATTAACATTATAACGGTGAGTAAAACATGACAAGTTCGTCAAGGGCAATTAAACCGCAGAGGAAATGCTAGCAGAGAGTTGTGAAGTAAATAGACGCGAGCGCTCACCATTAGGAGGGCCATACTTGCTGGCACAGTATTCCCAAGCTCTGATGTACGACCGACGGCGATTGGTTGCCGGGATGACCTTCGCAAAGATCTGCAAGACGAGACGAGAGTAGTAAGATATATATAGTATCAGGTAGATATAGTATTATTAAACGTTTATATAGTATTGATATATAGTATTAATGATACTATATCACTATACTATATTCTATATCTATATCTTTACTATATATGATTATATAGTACTAACGTTATATAGTATTGATACTGTATATAGTATTGATACTGTATCAGGAGTGAATAATAATAGATTATTCTCTCTATTGTTATTCACTCCTGATAGTATCATGACCTGATGGCATGCTGAAAGTAGCCAACTTAATTATACATGTGACCTAAACCCCAGGCAGGTTGGCTACCCATGTCATAGCTAGCTCACTAAAAAATATAAACAGTATAACTATAAATTAGTTCTTTTGTGATGAAGTGTGAGCTGATGAGTATGGTAGAAGCATTGTCAATTTGTGCTGCCACCTACAGTGACTTTCCAAGCATGCCATAGTGTGCTAAATAATGGCTGCAAATAATTACAAACAGAAGACTGAAGATCGGGGGGGATTAACTGAAGATCCTTAAACCCACTTATACGGACACAAACAAACACCTGGAGTTACCTTATCGGCTGTGATGCTAGTGCTGTCACCTAGCAACGTGACACTTTTGTCGACGACTCCGACTGCGCATAGAGAGTTGGGGCTGCCACGTATTGTCAGCTTTTCTGCGGCGCCGGGAAGTTGCTGCTGTGCTGCGAATTGCATTGTCACCTGCGAACGTTGAGATTGGCTTACTGGCGGTACTAGATGGCTGGCTTCAGATAACATCTGATGTAAAGACACACCCAGCTAACACATAACGTTCCCATAATGTTCGTAGAACGTTTTAATCAAACCGGAATGTTCTAGGAAGGTTGCGGGAACATTATCTGTTAGCTGGGCATCTCCTCATATACTCTATACTGTCTATACTGCACACATGTTGACCAATGAGGCAGCTGCACAGCGTGGGGGCAAACCAGTGGTCTACAGCTGCTATCTGTAAGGCAGTAAACTCTACCTTCTGTGGAAAGCACTTCTCCACATTGATCTTCTTCGTGTCGGCAATGACCTCTTTGGTTCCGTTGTAGTTCACCACGTGATATACGAGCACGTGCAGCAGTGGCGCCATCTCCGGTGTCACGTCAAACTGAAGGTTGAAGCTTGCCACTATCCGACGTCCAGCGTGGAAAAAGTTATTTTTAATTAAAAGAAAAATATTCAGAATTCAATGTACAATAACGACAGTACTTATTTTTCTTATGCTACTCTTCGGTTCATAGTTTTTACTATAGTTCATAATAAGGTTATGTTTAATATATATTGTATATTAATAAGTTTAATATACACTGGACCCATCATCCTAATAATAATCTCTCTAATCCTCTTAATAAATCCTCATAATATCATAACCTTGAACTTAATATCTTATATCTTAATAAAATCTTAATAAATACTCTTACTATACATGGTCCTTGCACCTAACATTAATCTCGTTAACGTCTTACTGCCACGTTGTCAGAGACATTCTGTTGTACGAAGAATGAGCGTATTCACCTGGCTTTGCTGAGTCCGTGGAGGGAAGCTGCTGGTATTCCTCCTCAGTTAGCTGTTGCTCTATGCTTCCCACGTCTACGATGTGATTCGATACAACAATCTGTGGGGCATCATGAAGACACGACATCATGAGAAAACAAAAACAAATTGTGTCAATCGCAACATTTGTTTTTTTAATTCACGTCTGATGACATCTACAGACGCCTAAACAGCTATATACGCATGGCATTCATGCGCATGCGAGCGCAGAATCACGACCATGTAAATTGTTGTAGCCCTGATGTGCACGTCCATGTTTAAATGCTTTTGAGTCCCTGCCTTACGAACAATACTCTATCACTTGTTTCAATGTCAGAGTGGAATATGACCCTACGAATTGCCCAACTCGCATACACAATCCCAACGCACGCTTATCAAACCAATCCATGCTCCAACTTAGGAAATATGTTTGGAACCATGCAACTTTCACTCTCAGATGGAACTCTTTCAGAACTGCACACATCAATACATTTTTACTTCTTGGCTACGAACATATCGATTTCGCATTATAGATTCAAATATTGACGAGTGAAGAATGGCCATACCTTATAGTAAAACTGCCTGGATCCTGGTCCGTCAACCGTGTACCTGACCCGGACCTCTCCCTTCTCGCGGCATCGCAGTGTGTTCACATCGCTCTCTATCTGCAGGTAGTGGCTGCTTGCGGAAATCCAGCTGCTAAGATATATCGTTGCATGCGGCTTGGTGAGCATGATTTTCGAGTAGCGCTGCTCTGGCGAATCACGGATGTAGTCCACAGCATCATGGTCCAGTGACTCCGCCTAAAAAACACCCATCAGTTACTAATGTCATCTAGCTGTGTGATGAATGCGAGTGGAAGTGCTGCCACACACTTAACAATAACAATATAACTAATATAGCTAATAATTAATAACTAATAACTAGTACTGATATAATAAACTTTAATAATATATATAAATACGAATACTAATACATTTAATAAATGCCCAAGGTTAGAAGTGCTGCTACGAACTTAACAATAACAATATAACTAATATAACTAATATTTCAAATAACAAAATAAACTTTGTTAATATATCAATATAGAATAATAATATGTTCTCATAACTAATTAACAATTAAAGATTATCACCTTCAGACTGAGCTGTTTCTTTACTAGCTGAAGGTCAATAGGAAGCCTTGCTACTCCATCACTGCCCGTAACCACAGTCTTAACCAGCTGATCTGTTTCAGAGAAGATGACCGTCAGTCGGATCCTGACACCAGCAGCTGGCTGTCCATTCAAAGATGTTGCACTGACCTAAACAACAGTATCACGGGATGTTAACACACATCTGATTCTTTTTTTTTCTCTCTCTCTCACTCTGATTTTCGCTCGCTTGCTCTCTCTCTCTCTCTCTCTCTCTCTCTCTCTCTCTCTCTCTCTCTCTCTCTCTTTCTCTTTTTTTTTCTCTCTCTCTGTCTCTCTCTCTCTATCACCCTTCCTCCTTCTCTTTCCTTCTCTATCTCTCTCCTTCTCCCTCTGTCTCTCTCTCTCTTTCTCTCTCCCTCTCTTCCCCTTCTCTCTCAGCCCCTCTTTCTTTGTACGTCTTCCCCTTTCTCTCTCTCGACCACCTTGCTCACTCTTTAACCAAGCATTCACCTCAGCATTATAAGTCAAGAACGGCTTGAATTCGTCTTTGCTGAGAAACTTGAGGAACAGTTGATTCTTGCTAACTTTCACCTCTGTCTCACCAGATAGCGTCACATCTATAATTAAAAAGTTTAATTAAGAATTTTTTTTTTAAATTTAACTAGATACTTATTAACTGTTCAGAAATTTCGACATAATTCCTAGAGATAAGACATGTCAAAAATGTTGTCCGATTCGTGTCACAAGATTTTATAGCGTAAATAGGTTGGCAAAACAAATCTTTTTCTCGATAGATAGTCGATAATATTTGACAAAATGAATCATTTGTGTAGTAAAGTTAGAGCAAGACAATTTTTGGACTAGTCAAGATCAATTTTTATATATGGATAGCACGTGGATAGATATAACATATGGATAGATAACATTGCAGGGCTATTTCCTCAAGTTGTATGTCAGCCTTATTTGTGAATAGCTGTTAGCCTGCATGCATACATGCAGGCGCATATGACAGTGTTTAATTGTTTAACCTAACACACCGTCCCCACTGCAATCCTCCACCTGCGTCATCATGATCGACATCCTTCACATACGTCACCCTCAGTGACATTAATATTGGCTCTCGTGAGGTGACAACATCGATCACGTCAAGCCATGAGAATAGTCGTACATATGTCACTCACCCGTGTCATCCTCTGTGACGTTGGCACTCAGTGACAGTGTCACTGTACGCCAGGTCCCGTGAGAGTAGTTATGGTTTCTCAACGGCCAATCGGAAATGTCCACGTCGAATTTGCGACAGCCATCTTTGAGCTGTGAAATCCCAGCGGGGGGCAAAAATAACTAGTAAGCATGCACCATGCAAGTATCACTGTCAATAGATACGGCCATAGTCAAACGCTTGCAGTCCGTGGCTGATGTCATAACCATGTAACATTCCCTTCGAAGACTAACCTGTGACTTCAATATCATATTACCGCGACTTTACTGGTAGATTATTGTAGCTTTACTAATTGACAATTATGTAACTTAGAGTTCGCAGCTATTGCCACAACTCCGTAACAACTATCGTAGATTAACCTGTGACGTACATCACCTATTTAATTACCGTACTCTTACTGTGTGATGACTATCTGTAGCTTTACTAATTGACAATTATGTAACTTAGAGTTCGCAGCTATTGCCACAACTCCGTAACATACCTATCGAGGATTAACCTGTGACATCACTATTGTATTACCGTGACTTTACTGGTGGATTATTTGATGGCTTTACTACGACTATTCATGTACTCTTACGCAGATAAGGTCTGATGTCCCCCTGACTCTTGTCTTGACCACTCGCTCGTTTAGGCTATTTCTGACTAATATGCTATATATATATAATATATAATATATAATATATTAATTATATCGGGTAGGGTTAGGGTTAAGGTTAGTCAGAAATAGCTAAAACGAGCCAGGTCAAACAGAGTTCAGGGGGGACATAGACCTAACGAGCGTATAATTACAGTTTACTCGGCTGTCTTTACAGAATGGAGGCAGTTCAGGTTCTCGCGACCAGGAAGGTGCTGCGGACTGGGGTCGAGCGCACACCTGCAGCATCAGCATTGCCTCTCTACAGCTTGCCAATAACGTGTACCTAATTGACAAAAAATTTGTTTGTAGGTATTGGACACTGACCAATTAGTTATTGCTTTTTTCATTTTGTTCCGCCTTCGCCCTTCTTTTTAATTTGTAACTTCATCATTTTTTATATCATGCCCGTGAGTTGGCGATTATTAATATATTCCAAGATATTACTTAAAATTACATACGAAACATTCTCGTGTTGCTGCTACCTAACTCAATTATTATATCACTGGCAAAATACAGTGGACCATGTTGCGCGCATGCCCGCCCAAGTCCATTTCGACATATTTCCCTGAGAGGTAGAGATCACCCATGGTGTACGCATGAATCCAAACTTACTTGCACAGAACAATACCAGAGACACTCTTCGCACCGCGCATGACTGTGCGCGACGAACGCGTCACCAATCACC